TAATGCAGCCATGAGAGATCTTGTGTAGAGAAATTGTCGATGCTATGCTTTTCCATTTGGAAATATCAATACAATCTACAGTTAGAAGCTCCTAAGATCTGAAGACGCATGTCATGCCATTACGAGGAGAAAAAACAAATAATAAAAGAGACTGCAAGCAACATCCGTTGGCGAGAATCGATTGTCAAAAAATTCTCCAGTGGCTAAGGCACTCGAAATAACAACAGTCGGCGTTTCAATATTCGTTCGATTGCCTGAAATAACTACGCAGGGCCTTTTCCATTAGGCATGATTCATCCTCCTCTCAATGATGTGTCGTTATTACGTCGCTTGCTTCATTTCTATTCAATTAATTCCCAGTCACATTACCTGGTGAGCAGGCGTGCGATGGAGTGAGTCTCATACTGAAAAATGTTTTAGAGAGATTGAGCCTCTAGAACTCCCAGTCAAAAATGGACAGCAAAGTGAATTTTGTCCGTTTAAAAACTGTCGTCAGGAAAGATGAAGGCTTCTCGAGTGATTTGATGTATTGCGTGAGATTGATGGAGCAAGTGTCGACTCTTGAACTAATCTTGGCAGTGTGCGGCTATGAATCATACCGTGATGGACAACAGGACAATGGGTGACAGGCGGCACTCGAATGTCTTCTCAGAATCTCCGTATAGACGCACTTGCCTTCAAGTCCCTCGCGCATGCGTCGTTTGATCAAGAGAAAGCCCACCACGTGGTATTAATGACACTTTTCGAGGCCGCGCCGTTGGCTGTTGCCTGGAACTTTCGAGTAAATCAATGTCGGAAATGATTACATAATCCTTAATATTTTAGACTCATTTATTATTTATATTAAAAATTTCTTGTGGAGCATGAAATTATTTGAATGATTGAACATAGTGCAATGAGAAGTCTTCACCTTCACAAATATTATAGAAAAGTACAAAGTTTTATAAAATGCTTAGAGCCTAGCAATGTTCTTTAGTGTATATTTTGTTCATCACATCTGGCAGCCGTAATTCTATTTCTGCGAAGCTCAAGGAAGATATGGGCATAAGAGGTAAAAAATATTACCTACACGAGATTGTTGAGGGAAAATATTCCTTTTTATTGTAACTGTTAAAACTCTGAACTATTGGCTTCGGTCAAATTTGCTGGTAAATTTAGTTTTTAGACAACACTTCCCTGCAGCAATTTACGTCGGCGATGCTGCGATATAGGATGTGCGTGGAGGAACAGGAATTTCAACGCGTGATGAGCTGTGCTGCATGGCCAGCAAGAATTAAAGCGAAGCAAGCCAGCTTTTCCTTAATCCACGAATAAATTCATCTCATCGATAACGATCCTCAGCGAGAAATTTCTTTTCTCAAGGCAACAAGAAAACCGAGGACCTGTTCATTAAAAGTTAACGGCAATGCATCTTCACCAATAATGCGAAAGCGTAGGGAGATTCACAGACAAATCTTCTTCCTCTCGCCGCCCGACGTCGCAAGCGCTCCAGTCAACAAATAAACAAGGAGAGTCAGAGGTCTCTCTGAGGGCTACGCTTTGAATACATTAACCTTAGCGGGAAAAACTTCGGCAACGAAAGCCTAAAATTGGTGGATAAGCAACAAATTGTTTGCTGTGTCGACGATACGACGAGACTAATCGCTACCCACAGAATCTCTGTGCCAACACTGATCGCCGTGCTCGATCGCAACTGGGCTCAGCCGTGACTCTGAATAAATCAATTCCCGATTTTGGGACGTTAATGCGACAAGAAAAAAAAATGTTCCTGAGTTTCCAGCTTTTGGGAGGGTTCAGCGAAAGCTGTCATTACTGAGTTGCCCTGAGCGAAGATTGACCAAAGGGATGAATGCTATTAATTCCTGCTGAGGAATTGTCTGCGAATGATGTAAAGATTTATAGTCAGAAAATAACAGATCAATCAATATATCACAAGAAAAATGACAAAATTTAGTTTCAATTAATGACCCGTATCTTTCAGTAATACTTATGTTCTTGTGTTTCACTAATTCGCCCGAGATGTTGAACGAAATTGACTATTAAATTTTAATGCTTGCAACATGCGTAATTCGGAATCCTTATCAGTCAACAACTAGAATAAATTATTTCACTTTTATTTATGTAGTATCAAGAGCAATAAATTGGAGAGAGTAAATACAAGTGTAAATCATATCATAGAAGTCAGTGAGCACACTGATTATCACAGTTATCCCGAACTATTATCGTCTTGAAGAAGTAAACCGATCGTTAAAAATTTTCTAATTAAACAATTGTCGTTGTGTGAGTAGTTGAACCAACTAATTACAACGAAAGTCTAGTTGAATAGTAAATCAAACTTATTACTCAAGCTTTACTATAATATTCAACTGAAATTCAAGTTTAGGCTGCAACTTGAAACTGACGTTTAAGTCCAGGCTGCAACTTTGAACTGACGTTTAAGACAAGGTTGCAACTTTGAACTGACGTTCAAGTCAAGGCTTTAACTTGAAACTGACCTTTAAGACACGGCTGCAACTTTGAACTGACGTTTAAGTCAAGGCTGCAACTTACAAGCGGATCTCAATTTCAAGGTTGAAGCAACATCATAGATTTGAATTTCAAGTGAGGTAAGAGTTAAAACAAATTATTAACTATAAAACATTTGAAACTAATTGCAATGTCGCCAGGAATCTAAAAGAATGAAAATGAATAGTAAATTCGCCATATGTTAATCGGAAACGTTACCGAGTTCAGCTTCATTGTCAGTCGAAAAATTAGAAAACACAAGTACACTAAATAAAGAAGAGCCAAATTATCACAAGAAAATATTTTCCCAGGTCTGGTGTTATTGATGTTAAGGAAATTATGGGACTCAATTGCTCACCCGATCTGATGTTATCGAAATTCCATGAATTAACCTAATCAAATGTTTATCGCGGTCTAGCGTAACTGAAGTTGAGGAAATTAGTGACATAAAATATTTTCCTTGGTATAATGTTACCGAATTAAATGAAATTATCGACAGCAATTTTTTCCTATGACTTGCATTACTGAATTAAAAAAAGTAGCTAATGCAAAGGTTTTCACTGATCTGGTGTCAATGAAGCTGTGGAAATTACGGAATGCAAATGTTTACCTGGATCCTGTTACGGAACTTGATGAAATTGAAGACCGTAATTGTTTTCCTCCTAGAGTTCGTGTTACAATAGTTAGCTAAATTTTTGACAGAAAATGTTCTCCCTGATCTGATGTTACTGAAGTTAAGTAAATTAACGACCACATTTGTTTCCTTTCTCTTGGTGTTGAAGAAGCTAATGAAATTATCGACCACAATTGTTTCCTCTGATCTGGGGTTTCTGATTTTGTTTCCTCTGGTCTGGTGTTACTGACTTTAAAGGAAAAAAATTAATGCAAAAAAGGTTGCGATCTGAATTAAATTTATTATGCAGTAGGCTGAAGCGAGATAATTTTTGTTTAAATTGATATATGAATACATTTTTTTATTGGATGACTGCTAAAGGAATCCCCATTTGAAGGGTTTTACATTCAAATAATTTCTAAAGCTGCTGCAAAGCCATTAATAATTAAAAAAAACATGAATTTCAGCCTATATCTGATAATCCGGTTCATTTTTCAAAAGTTGTCCTGGGTTATTGAGGTGATACTGCTAAATAAATACGTATTACCAAATTATTAAGCAATAAGCTGAATATGGCTCAAGTCGATAGATGCTTAGAAGTTCCTCGAGCCTCATATACGCATATTAAAGCGACAAGCTCATTTAGTTCGACCTGTCACTTTATGTTGACCGGAGGATGTTTTGTGTGTCTGTGAGTGACTGTAGGTTCATTTGGTTCATCTAATATATCGTTTATCATATCATATAATATATCATTGGTTCATCTTAATATCATTTGTAGGTTCATCTCTATTTGATATTAAAAAGTCAGTTGGCGTATGTGTTTCATCTTTATTTTCTTTAATGGTAATGAATAAATATTTCATTTTAGATAGTGATGAGTTTATTATTCAATTATGACACGAATACCTCATACGGCTGGTTTTTAGTACATACGCGAGGATCTAAAATCATCATTTATAATTGGATAATTACTTTTTATGCAGTGGTATCAACGCAATAATATAGGTTATTTTTCGAAAATTGAACACGAAAGTCAAGAAATATTTATGAACAAAACTTTTTGGAATTTTCAATTGATTTTAATCAAAATTGTTTGTTTGGAAAATCCTTCGAAAGAGAATCACTTGGCAGATGTTCCCATTAAAAAAATTAGACTCTTATGGCTAATTTTCATAAAAAATTGTGTCTCGCTCGACTATATTGTCCATTATTTTGGTGGAAATTGTGGATTTTCAATCTGAAAATTGCATCAATTTCTTTTGTATCCTATCATTGATACGGAATTGACAGCGCGACTGCAACAAAATTCTAGTGAGTGTTACTTCATTAATCATGCGGTCACCATAGATCCATAAATATTCTCAACCTGCGACATTACGCACATTTCTTGGGAGGACGATTAATTGTTGCGCGAGTGTTGTTAAAAGTGACTGAGTGTTAACATTAGTGCGTACCAAAAAAACAGGGTGAGACAGTAACAGTTTATGATAGTAGCATTATATTAATTAAAGTGTATTAACATAAGAGTATATCAGCATAAAATTATGTTAACATAACATTATGTTAACATATCAGTAAATTAATATAACATTGTTTTAAATAGTATTTTATTAGCATAACAGTGTAAAATACACCGAGTATACGCGTACACTCAACACGAGAGAAAACTATTTCGATTTTCTGCACCTGAAAAAGATAATTACATGCTTACAACAATAAAAATACTTCTTTAAAGACTTTATGAAACGAAAACCGCTTTAGTTCGGTACATCTGTGGCAATGCATGATCCATCTGATTGAAAATTCGTTTATTTTCAGCATCGGTAAGATACGATGCCTTGCAATACATTATAACTTCAGCATCTCTGCACCCCGAGCGATGTTCGGTCAATTATCGTTTTTGTTGAAGACTCGTAGCCACAGGACTGGAAACTTGTCAGTTCTCACGCAGCGGACCGCCGCGCAGCTTGGCCTCACTCAGTGGACCGCAGAGAAGCATGGCCCCACGCAGCGGACCGCAGAGAGGCGTGGCCCCACACAGCGGACCGCAGAGAAGCATTTCCCCACGCAGCGGACTGCAGAGAAGCATGGCTTCACGCAGCGGACCGCAGAGAATCATGGCCCCACGCATCGGACCGCAGAGAAGCATGGCCCCAGGCAGCGGACCGCAGTGAAGCATGGCCCCACGCAGCGGACCGCAGAGAAGCGTAGCCCCACGCAGCGGACCGCATTGAAGCGTGGCCCCACGCAGCGGACCACAGAGAAGTGTGGCCCCACCCAGCGGACCCCAGAGAAGCGTGGCCCCACGCAGCGGACCACAGAGAAGTGTGGCCCCACCCAGAGGACCACAGAGAAGCGTGGCCCCACGCAGCGGACCACAGAGAAGTGTGGCCCCACGCAGCGGACCACTGCGTAGCATGGTTACACGCAGCATCAGCGTTGCGGCTCTCGGACGCAGTTGGCCACCCTTCTACGAACCTGGGATTAACTAGTTTATCGCGAACTATGATAGTGTAACAATTTCTCCGACTCTACCAAGTCTATAAATTTACTTGTTCTATTAAATGAATTTTTTTGTTCTATTGAATAAATTAGTTATAACGTTTACTTGTTTGAGTACTGTAAGGCTACTCCACCGAACAAATGTTATTCACCTTACGATTTCACCAAGAAGCTTGACCGATTCCAAGATTCTGTCTTGCAGTTTCTGGAATCACACCGGGTTTTCGGCATTCTGATCTTCCCACGGACTCTAACAGTTATCGGTGGTCCAAAATTCATACAAGGTCGTAAGAGTAACTAAAACAAGTTCTTTGCCAGATTTTAAGCTTGAAAAACTAATTCCTAACGCGCGCAAAAAGCTTATCTTATCAAAGCGAAGGGGAAAGTTCTTCATGCTGAGGTCTAGGAAGCGTGTGAGCCAGACAGAAGCTTGGAATCAGTTTTTCGATTAAGTGACCCAAATTAATGATTATTTGAATCTGATGTCAAAATGCGCGTTTGATTATTGCAGTGCCACACATGATGATCAATCATAGCAGTGCCACACGTACATGATCAATTTTTGCTACTGGACTTGAGATCGAGAAGTAGAACCAAGCTTTAAATCCAGTCGCATTCCACCATGCTATCAATAAATTAAGAAGCATTCATCCCAATTACTTTAAAAATGATCATTTGTGGCGTTTCGGAGTTTTTAACCATCAACTCAACTTCAATCAATTATTTTTCTTTAGTTTCCCAATTTTCTTTTTGCCGGCAAGCGGAGAAATCTTCAGAAATTGGAATTTTTTAGCCACTACTTGAGAGTATGGAGAATTATATGATAAATTTACTCGTAAGGATTTTCCAAAATTTTGCATGATATTGGAGAAAATCTCAGATAAAAATTCCATAAAAAGCGGTCACTGCGCTAAAAGAAATTGCAATTTTTTTATTTATTAAATTCAAAGCAAAGAAAACTATCAAGCTGCAATTATATTTAATTTTCTCTAGCTACTTTAAATTAAATAAATTAATATTACTTCTCTCGACTATTTAAAAAATGCGGAAAGAGCGTCAATTTAATTGTCCGAGTCCAAACTTTTATTTAAATTCTCATATTATAATTACTGGGTATGGCAGGGGGTGAGGCTATGTATAGATGGATGAGCTGATGATCGGAGATTGTCGTGATAAAGAAGCCTCAAACATAAAACAGAGGACAAGCTGGGCTTTTTTGGAAAGAGATTTTAGGTGACTATATAATTATGATAACTTGCCCGCGAAAAGGTTAAGCTTGGTTTACCCAAATTGCGCATCTCTTGAAGTCATGTAACTTTTGGAGGACCTCATCAGCAACGAACCACCGGGCGTAACACAGTATCATTCTTTCATTCATATTTATTTCCGAAGTATTACACAAGGTCGAGACGGCAACTTCAAACTTCCCAACATTATTTATACAGTCACATTGCCAAAATCTGTGTTAAGCTAAAATTAGCGCCGTTTAAAACCCTGATGTACTTCAGGGGCCAAGCGAGCATTTGCACGCTGGAAAGAGTTCAACAAATTACGGTTTTGTTTGTCTTGACTCAAATAAGTAATTAGGTATGTTGAAGTCCAGAAGTTCGTGTTTTATTTCATGAAGTTCCTGGAATGTTCTATGCATTTTCTGCTGGGTGTTTGTTTGTAGACTCAGAGTTATTTTCGTCCACTATCAAGCACCGAGAAAATGTTTGTGCATGACCACAGATGTAAATTTGCATCACGAGGTCTAAATTAAGGCTGACTCTAATTACATTCGCTGCATAACAAGACTTGTGGGAGAATATCCCGAAACTGTGTCGCCATAGTAGAAGTTTTCCCTCTAGCTCAGCAAATTTCGATCAGATGACGATATTGAAATAATTATCGTGCCGAGAATTTTTTCACCGAAAAAATGTTTGCTTAAGAGATCCGCAAGATACCAGAAAAGATTTAATAAGCATGACGTTGCCAATTACCGAGAAAATCCACGCCTTTCATTTCAATTCTGTAATGAAAGCCACACAAACGCAGTTTACGCGCACATTGATCTCTTTACTATCGACAGTCTGGAAGCTCCCGAAGATTGTATTGCGTGCAGTGGCTATTAACTTGCTTCACATGGTATTTCGCGGAGGCTTCACTGCAACACACCGGCTTAGACTCAGTCCACATAACTTTTTGGACTCACTCGAGAATGGCGTCGATCCTTTAGTTTATATTCCCATAAAGTGTTGCGAGTGTCGTGCTCCTGAATGCCGAGATTCAAAGCTCTGATAGAGCGAACAAAATCGCCTGCGTGGTCTCTCTATCTTTTCGATATGTGAGCGTTTAGAAGCAGTTTCAAGCCTTATATATCTCAGTACACAAGAGGCTTTAAGAGAAAAACCGTAAAATCTCTCACAGCAGATCGCTTTCTGATGAGCTTCCAATCAAACACGTTGTGCTCACTCAACTTTTAATTCCAGCGCTTCGTTAGAAGCACTTGCACGACAACTAATGTTTTTTTTGCAACCAATGGTTTTTTGTAGTTTCATCGAAACCAGATTTTACTGAATTTAACAGATATATAAATGTTACTAATTCATTATGAATTAGTAAATCGGTTAATTAAATTTTTTAATTATAGTACATTCAGTCATGAATTCTAAAATAACATATAAAAATGCAACGTAAAACTTAAAAATGCAACTGACAAATTATTTATTCCCTAAGTCTCAATTAGAAAGCATTAAAATAATCTGTTTCATTCATTACAGTCTTGATGGAAGTTATTTGATTGCTAACAAAAATTGATCATGGATATACAGTATCGCAGCGATCTAAATATCATCGAAGGTTTTAATTAGCATTTGGTGTTTCATTTCTTTCTCGTTAATATATAGGCCTCAAAATGACATCAGTAAAATGAAAAAATATAACTCAGTTACTCACTGCAGTGAGTGACAGAGAGCGCATTTTCTCGTTGCCGTGTATCATGGATACTCGGCAACGTGAAGTCGCAGACAGACAGAGGGACGGACGGACGGACGAAAGGACAGACGGACGGACATGACGAACACAATAGCGCCTTTTTTCCATGAATGAAAAAATGCGATAAAAATGAGAACCAACTGCACATACTAACAAACAATGATCAACTAACTAACATCGATATCCTGGCGCTACACCCTCCGAAGTTGTTTCTGGCCGCCACTCCGCACGACGGTTGGGCTGACCATCACGCTATCTGTCCAGTATAGTGTGGCCATAACACAGTCTGCAGATCTGGATGGCCGGCACGCTGTCCGCCGGTGAGTCTGGCCTCCATTTTGGGCGCGTTGTCCATTGCAAGAGCGAGAGGCAACGCAGTCACTGGATGTTTCTGGCCGCTACGTCGTCCGTGGGAGTGAGATCGCTTCATTGCCTGCCGTCGCAGTGAGCTTCATGTCCGTCGGCGCGTGACCGCCACGCTGTCCGTCGGCGCGTGACCGCCACGCTGTCCGTCGGCGCGTGGCAGTCACGCTGTCCATCGGCGCGTGACCGTCACGCTGTCCGTCGGCGCGTGGCAGTCACGCTGTCCGTCGGCGCGTGACCGCCACGCTGTCCATCGGCGCGTGACCGTCACGCTGTCCGTCAGCGCGTGGCAGTCACGCTGTCCGTCGGCGCGTGACCGCCACGCTGTCCATCGGCGCGTGACCACCACGCTGTCCGCCGGTATGTCACGCGCGCTCGGCCGTCCGATATGACCATCACATGCACTACAGGGGAGCCACGAGTGCCAGATATTGGGCGAGCTCGTTACTGCCAACACCCCGCAATCTCGGCGCAATTCAACACGAAACTTAGCTCAAGCTATGCAGAAAATACCCCAACATTAAAATGCATCATTTCCTTCTTGCAAAGAGCTTGAAGTGAGAGCTCAGACAGTTCAATCAGGTTATAGGTTATTCTTTTAATGCTTTGAAAATTCCGTTGTTTTTGCTTAGCGCCATTCTGAAATATACTAGTAAAAACGCAATAGAAATGTTAACTTCTTACGGCAGATCGGGATTATGATTTTCTGTTTTCAGGCACACGCATTGCACAGCGTGAGGAAATGATTAGAGCCATACTTGAAATTTCACCTCAGGAAAAGCTGCTATTTTGAATTTCAAAACTTCAGACGAGTGTTCTCAGTCAGACTGGTTAGTTATTTCTTTTAATTATTTAAACATGGGTGTTTTGTAGAGCCATTAAAATTTACAGTTTATAAATATATGCCTCCAAAATCAACCTTATGATTGAATACTATTATTTGTTCGGCCTTTAAGCTATGATACAACTTTTAGCTGATGTAAAAAATTACCTAATATTTGTATGTATTAACAATTTGTATGTTAACGTCCTATAAGATAGTACATCCGGATGGGAGCTTCCGTTTCGTGGTGCATCGGTCACGTTGCAGTACAAGTAAGGATAGAATTACGTAAAAAATAGGTAATTTTCCTTTTTTAGTCGTGAAAAGATAACCTATAATTTGTAAATCAACAACGTTAATCAGCCACATGAAATTGCAAAAAAAATAGAACCGAGGTAGCAGAACACAACTGACCTACAAACGTGAAAGACTTTTCTTACAGTTTAAGTGAGAATGAAATTACAGTTAGAGGCCAAATGGATAATCATGTATGGCAAAGGTTTAAAGTACGGCCCCAATGTATAATGATGGGGTAGATGTGGGTGGAAACTTCACATCGCCTGCCCCATGTAGATGTGAAATTTCAGCGTCGAGGGACGAAACATTTCTCACGGAGACATTCTTTGGGAAATTATTGCTCAACTACGCTTGCGTTTATCCTATACAGATTTAATGATTTTAGATCTTCTTTAACTGCAATCATAATAAATTACTCCCACAGATTAAATATACAAATAGTATCAACTTATTCA